GCTTCAGGGAGAGGACTGGAATTGGGCAAATGGGTATAGAAGGCAGATGAAGCAAGTCTAAGAATACAGAAACATAACACAATACATAGACAGTGCACCAACCTTGACATATTCAACTGCTCGTGGAGAAAAATCACAGGCATAGGCAAAGATATTCCGATCCTCTTCTAAAAGCGGGAATAAACAGTTTCCAACCCCACAGCCAGCTTCAAGCATAATCAATTTTTGATCTTCATACTGAGGAAAGAGACCCCAAAGTTACAGTACACTACATCTGCGTAATGAAAGAAAAAACAAACCAGAAGGTCCAGAACGTGAGACAAGGTCTCTGTGCCCATGAAGTAGACAATGAACAAGTAAACGGAGAACCAGAAGCTAATACTGACACGTCATTTGTTGTCAAACACTGGCAGTCTGGTATGGAGAAGATACAGCATACTCATTAACAGAACAGGCTGTCTGGGGTTAAATTCCCTGCACTCAAATCCAGACTTCTCCCCTCGCCCGCGTTCTGTCATTGGACAAATCACTTAAACAGCTTTGTGCCTCCATTCACCAGCGAGTGAGGGTAACACTAATGCCAAACTTGACAGTGTTATTACAAGGCTTAAATTACAGAACACAGGAAAGTTCTAGAAAAGGGGCGTGGCATAGTGTTCATCACCACCCTCATTATTATGAATCGGTCACTGAAATCATCCAGTATGAATTTAATATTTACAACGTTCAGATTAGCTTTAAAGAAACAGAAAATGCCCACTAAAGTTCCCTCTCCTGTGTATTATACAACCCAGAAACTGCTAAAACTAGTTGAGACCAAACAGTGTATTTCTAAGGTACAAAACATTTTGACAGGCTTCATAAATTCTCTCCCTTACACTCCCCAGGGGATGCAATACAACAGTCCTCTTTTACCCACTTAAAAGAACAGCTCAAATGAGGTGTGATATTAGTTTACCTCTCTACATGACCTGAGCTCCTCAAACTCTCTGGTGGTCCAGTGTCTGTCTTTGAAGAAATGAGTGCTATTTCTTTTGTAAAAAAGGTCCCAGTTCCTCTGAGCCTCTTTTTCCAGCTTTTGCTGCTTAAAATCAGACACTAAAACTTGGTCCCGCTTCAGTTTCTCCTCTTCCTCAGAGCTGAGACTCCTTGCCTGCAGCCCTTTCCTTTGCAAAGATGACATCTCCTAAGTCGATGGTGTACATTTAACACTGCTGACGATTCTCCATCCCTGAATCATCCGAGGAACTCAAGGTGATGCTGCAGACACAGGCTGGGTTTTCTCAGATGTGGTCCCTTGGGTGGGATTCAAGCCTCAGGCAGTATCGGGTGCTTCGCGGAAAAAGAATGAGATTCTGGTTGGAAGCTCTACGACAGTTTTTAAGATGCTGGGTTAGTGATTAGGGAACAGTGCTCTCACCAAATAGTTCAATTTACTTAACTTTTACTAGATACCTACTCTACACGAAACCCTGCACCGCTGTGGGAAATAGGTCACAAAGCCCAAGACACAGTCCCTGCCTTCAGAGGGCTGACACTCGGCAGCCGGGGCTCTCCCGCACAGAACTCTAATTCAAACCCTAATACGTCAACTATTATAGGAAACCAGTTTAGAAAAAGGGCCCTCCCAAGAACTGACTGAGAAACCTTGGGGAGTTTTCGGTGCCCGTGAAAGAGGTGACCTAAAAACAACCACAACAGCTGCCCGACCCAGAGGCGAGTGGTCAATTAACAGACCAACGCAGGGTCATCGTTTCCCAAGGATCGGAGACTCAGTGGTTTTCGGGGGGGAAATGGAGCCAAGCCCGAGTGGCCTGAGCCTCTGATTCTCACGACGAGGGAGCGTCGCTTCCCAGGGACCGAGGCCCTCGCACAGCCACAGCCGCGCGAAGGGGAGGAAGAGCCCCAGTGACGCGCGGCGCAGGGCCCCGGGACTCGGGATGAACCAGGCGGCCGGGCCGCGAGGGCCCGCGGGGAGCCGGCTACACGGGCTCTCGGGCCCTCGCTAACCCAGTCCGCCGCGCGCCTGGCCCCCGTCATCAGTTCCTAGGTTCCCCTGGACGCGTAGGGCCGGGCGCACTGACCCCCTCAGCCAGGCCCAGTCTCGGAAGCAGAATTTGGGAGCCACCGCCGCAAATCCCGTCGACTGGACAAACCCACCTGCAGTACCTCGAGCCCCACTTCCCAGGCGGAGTCCTTTGTCCATGGCACCGCCCCTGCCACTTCCGCCGTGGGCCCGGAAGT